GTTTTTTTAAAAAGTGAGGATCTGAAAATTACAATTTTAGCTAAAAATTATATCATTATGATTGGTAGTGCTATAAAGATGTTAACGAGATTGAAACCCCTGGAGGGCTTCAGCTTGAGTTGTGGCAGAAGGGCATCTCTCTCCTAATTGGAAAGTCTGTGCCCTGTAGTCCGTAAAGGACTTTAAAGGCCTTAAAGGGTGACAATATGACTGTCCCTTCTTTTAAATACGCTGAGTCCTGTACTGGGGGAGAAACAGGAATCAGGCAGATAGAGATCAAAATGTCGGCTTTATTATAAGGACTAGATGGAGGAGGCAGCTTAGCTCTGCACGCACCATTGGGAGGGCTCCCTAATACCCAATACCCCCTGACTGCAGGCTGTGCCCACTGCCAACCAGGGACAGGTCTTACGTGAGACCCAACAGGCTTCTTGAGGAAGACTTGCCTTTCTGTGACTGGCCCAGCAAACTGAGGCACCCAGCGATCAGGGAGATGTGCTGAGCTCTTAAAATAAAACTGTCCGTTTTAGATCACAGATTTCAGCTAAAAATTATCCAAGAATTCTGATGACCAGCCAGTGAGGGAAATCCTGAAGGGGCTGAGTCATGCAGACTCAAGGCTTTCCAAACCCATCAATGAAAGAAGTCAGAAGAGGGAGCTCCAGAGACGGGCCAAGCCCTTTTTTTTGGGGTTTTTTTTTTTTGGGGGGGGGAGTGAGGAAGATTGGCCCTGAGCCAACATCCGTTCCCAATCTTCCTCTTTTTGCTCGAGGAAGATTGTCCTCTATTTTGTATATGGGATGCCACCACAGCATGGCTTGACTAGCGATGTGCACGTCTGTGCCCAGGATCCAAACCTGTGAACCTTGGGCCACTGCAGCAGAGTGTGCGCACTTAACTGCTATGTCACTGGGCTGGCCCCACCAAGCCCTTTTTCCAGAGCTTCAGAAAGGTACCTGCAGGAATGGAGGAGGGGAGAGAAGATGGGTGGCTGCACAGGTTCTTTGAGAGGACTCTTGCTGAACTGTCCCCGAAGGATTAGGGTTTGAAGTAAGTGCTAAGGGAGGCAGAAATGGTCAAAGCAGAAAATTCGCCCATTGTCTTGGAAGGGGATGGGGGATGTTGCAGTTCTCCACACAGTAATGACAAGATCCCTCACAAATCTCCCTTCTCCCTGAGGTGACAGATGGTGACAGACCTCTGATGAGGTGAGGTGTCAGAGGAAATGATCTTGGGCAAGAAACTCTCATGCCCAAGCCTGGCTTGGAAAGGCAGGAATTCCCGCCTTCAGGGGACAGTGTGGACTCACTGGACAGGGAGTTTATCAGCACAGAACAGAGTAGGCTGGAGACCAGCGCGGCTCCGCAATGTTCAGGACTAGGGAACACCCCCAGGACCTTTACATGTCCCTGAGGGAATAAGGAAACCCAGGAACAATGGAGGAAGAATTTCCCAATAGCTCAATGAATGGGGCACAGAAGAGATTGTTTGATTTAGCCAAGTAAAGGAAGGAGACATTTCTCACCCTAGTTTTGTGGAATAAGATGCATTGCTGATACTCGTAGGAGGTGTTGAAGGAAACAAGGCTTTACATCTAGATGCTGTCTTCTTTGGCCAATATCCCGACAGCTGTTGGGGAGTCTCTGTAATAGAAAATGTTGTCCTCCCCAAATCAAGGCAGATAGCTTTTTAAAAAAAATTTACAATGAAAAAGTTTACTTTTATAAATATAGCTTTGACAATTAAAAAATCTCCAAGTATCTTTGAGGCTTGTGTGCTTCAGTGGCACAAATGTTGTAGTCAAGGGGTTTGCTTCCTGGAGAGCCCCCACACTTCTTGTGAAACCTTCTAGATTTCTATTAGGCCTACACGGGTTTGGCTCTCAGCAAGTCTGGCTATCTTCTCCTTAATGAGGGTAAATCTAGGGAATGGAAAACTCCACAGGGGCTTTGCTCTTAAGATCTTCTCCAGTGGCTTTATTAGTGAGACCAGCCACTTAAGGGTTAGGGATTTTCTGTCTTCCTCCAACGTGGGCTAACAGGGCCATCCTTCACCAGAGGGGGATATACTGGGAGAACATCTTCTTTCCTTTGTCAGTGGTTCTCAACAGAGTGCTATTTTACCCATGTCAGGGGGACTTTTGGCAATGTCTGGAGACATTTTTGGTTGCCACAATTGTGGGTTTGTGTGTGTGCTGCTGACATCTAGTGGGTAGAGGCCTAGGAGCTGCTAAACATCCTACAACAAAAAAGGACAGCCCCCTACCACAAAGAATTATCTGGCCCCAAATGTCCATAGTGCTGAGGTTGAGAAACCGTGGTTTAGATCAAGCATTTTCTATGGCATCTCCCAGCATCATTACATCTCAACCGTAGACCATGACGTGAATGGCGCTCCCAAGAGCTGTGCAAGGCACAGCCTGCACCGCCGTATGTGGCAGTCCTGCACAGCCACAGGAGAAGATGGGTGGAGGTGTGCCTTGAGGGTAAGCCTGGCACTGTGCTCCATAGGAGGAAGAGGGAGTGGGTGTAAGAGAAGGGCGTACACACACACACAGGCAGAGCTGCAGTCCTAGTAAAATTCCAATCCCTGGTCCTTACTGTCTTGGAGGCCCAGGTCTTCCCTTGCCCTTCCACTAGTTTGCCCACATGAACTTTCTGATCAAGTCTTCTATTATCTGCATAAGCCCAGTCAAGCTGGGTGTCTGTCACCTACAACTCAAAGCATCATAGCTAAAAGGCTGAATCTTTTTTGAAGCTTGTCAGACATCACCACTTAGTATTAGCGTATTCTGTTACGGGCCCGGCCCTTGCATGAGGCCCAACAGATGTTGCACTTTTTTGTTTGTTTGTCTATTAAAGTTGTACTTCTTTAGGAGACTTGCCTGCTTGTGACACGGGCCTACCTAACCCAGGAGTCCAGCAATCAAAGTGACACCCGGAACTCTTTAAATAAGTGTGTGTCAGCATTTGCTTACAGTTTTCAGACAACAGTCCATTCTCAGAGGCTCTGCCTTATTTGTCAATCTGCATACATGTCTGCTGACATTAAAAATAGAACAGCAGGCACACTTCCTGCCAGTGGGAAAAGAGGTAGGGGGGTGTGTGTGTGTGTGTGTGTGTCTGTGTCTGTGTCTTGGGCCTTTCTGATTGGAGGAGGCATGCTTCTACCTGGAAGACCCAGGAAAGCAGCCAGGGTTGTCTAATGACCTTGCCCAGGAAAACCCATGAGGAATGGAGGAGCCTGTTGCTGCCAGAAGATGCAGAAACAGAGAAGGAGGGGGCTGAGGAAGAGGGTGGACAGTTTTTATACTAAGTTTCTCTGAAACAGCCCATGAGTAGGGCAATAGAGTAGATACAATAATCTGCAGGAAAAATCGTAACTTTCCCTGCTAGTTAACTGAGCATACCAGGATAATATTTGGCTCTGGTTCACTGTCTTTCACTGTCCTTGCTGCCCATCTCACTTCTTCACTCTTAGGCACCTTAGATTTTCCTGGCCAAGGTCATCAGACTTCCCTGGCTAATTTCCTGGGCCTTTCAAGATAAAAACAGGATATATATATGATTTCACCATAAATATGATGTTGGTTGATGGTTTAAGATGGATTTTTTTAAATTTGAAAATTTGTCATTCTACTTGTAGTGTATTAAGAGATTTTTAATAATTAGGAATGACTGATGATGGTGATGGTGATGATAACTATAATTTATTGATCTGGCTTAGTATGAGCCAAGAATTTCCCAGAGCACTTTACATACTTTATTTCAATCTCTTATTTTCCCTATGTCATGACATCAAATGACATGTACAACTAAGTTATTCTACGTGTTGAATGTGGAGCAGGATGCTTTGGGTGCCATGGTGATTGGCCACTGCTTGTGCTGTTTTAAAGCTGAGGAATCTGGGGTTTGGAGAAGTTTAGTAAATTGCAGAGAGAGCAAAGAGGTGATGGAGCCACCATTCTAAAGCAGCTCAGACTTGCCCCAAGTCTGTGCTCTTTATTACTCTTGTGACCAGGTATGATATGTTAGTAAATCTCCTAATTGTAAACCAGACTTGCATTCACAGTATAAATCCCATTTGTTCTTGGTGGATTATTCTTTTAGACCAGGGGTTGGTAAACTATGGCCCACCGCTCAAATCTAGCCTGCTGCCTGTTTTTGTAAAGTTTTATTGGAACACAGCCACACTCACTCATTTACTGTCTGTGGCTGTTCTCTGCTACAATGGCAGCGTTGAGTAGTTGTGACAGAGACAGTATGTGTGGCAAAGCCTAAAAGATTTACTATCTGGCCCTCTACAGAAAAAGTTTGCTGGCCCGTTTTTGGGTGTAAGCTTATGAAGGCAGAGACCGTGCAATTTTCTCACTTACTCTTTGATCCCTCCTGCCACAGCACCAACGCTGGAGGCAGGAGCCAAGGCACGCAAATCATCAGGAAATTGGAATCAAGGTTTGTTGAATAAATGTGTAACCACTACAGAGGTTGGATGGTCTGTGGTCTCATCTCAGTAAGTATTACACACCAGGGAAGTGGCAAAACAAGGCTTTGAGCCCACTTCTGTCTGACTCTTGCTCCCGTAACCAAGACATCAAGTGACACATACAACTAAGTTGTTCTACATGTTTAATGCTGAGCAGGATGCTTTGGGCTACATGGTGGCTGGACACTGCTGCTGCTGTTTTCCTTTACCGAAGTTTATTCTAACGACAGACAGGTAAGGAGTCGAGAGTGAGCTCCCCAGATTAAGGCTGAGGACAGCTGCAAAGAGAATATATAGGGACAGAGAGGAGGAGGGGGAGGAGAAAGGTGGGGAAGGTGTCCAGTGATCTGGCGTGTCTTTAGGTGCCATAGGCTCACTGGTGACTAGTGTCCCTGGGGACAGGGGGTGCTCATGGGAGAGGAGGCAGAATGGCTGCAGCCTCTGGACCTCCACAAGGGCACGGGCAGGTCCAGCTGTGGTGTCGTCTACTCCCCAGCCACAGTTGCTCCTCCTCCTCAATCTTCAGCCTTATCAATGTTGGCCCCTAAGAGCAAGAAGTTCTGGAGAGAAGGCAAGAGGGACAGAGGAGAAGGATCACTTTCTCAGCTGAACAGGATAGGAGCTTCCTGAAAGGGAAGCCTGTACTGAGAGAGACAAGCTCCCACTGGAACCAAAAACCAGGTCAGGGCGATCACCAACCCTGAGGCCTTGGAGGCCTTTATAAAGCACCGTCCTATCAGCTGCCTGCCCCCAGGGATTTATCCGCATTTCCCGATCTTCTGATTTCTGGAAGACATCCATGAATGTCACTTTCCTCCTCCAAAACTTTTTTCTCCCAGGAGAACAATGCACACGTGGATGCTGCCTAGTTTACCCTCCTCACATAATTATTTTATGAGGATGTAGTTCTGGATTACCTTGGAGTAAGAACATATTATGAACAGTGAACATATTATGAACATATTATGAACACTGGCAAACTAGTACCTCTGGATTTATATCATAACATGTACAATGATTGTCCTTGTCGCCCCTGATAGGTTTGTTCCACTAGAAGGCATGTGGCATCAACTTTTCTCCAGGACCATCCCTTGCTACTGTGGGTGAGAAGGCTGGCCAGTGGCCCAGTGGGGACTCGCCCACCCCTGAGGAGATTCTGGGCTTGTTCAGGTGGCCCCTATCAACCCAGAAGTGGTGCATCTAATCTGATGGCTTTGCACGCTCTCCTCCTGTCATACGTGGCCGAAGGGCCTCGCACATCGCAGATGCTCAATTAATGTGTTTGAACTGAATTATTGGGAACTGAGCTATTCTACATGAAGCCAAGATCCCACATAATTAAAACCTGCCATTTATACTCCAAAATTTAAAACCCAAATTTTTTTCCTATAAAAATTAGGTCCAGGATATAAATGGGAGTCAGGGGCTCCCCCTAGTCTCCACCAGCCCTGAAGCAGCCCTCCCAGGAGTCTTAGAACTCCCCACCCAGCCCCCACTTGTCACTGACCTTGTGGATTTGGAGCTCCACGCTGGTGAGGGAGGTGTCCTGTGACAGAGGGAGCGGGAAGCCCTCCTCAAGCTTTGCTGAAAGATAAATAGAGGTGCGCTGGACAGAGAAGACAGGGGAGGTGCGAAGACACAGAACATTGCATTTGCAGCTGGTCAATGAGAGAGTGGGCTGCTTTGAAACATAGGCTATTGGATTCAGGGGTGTTTTTGGGGGGGTGTAGGGGAGTAGGGGGCACGTAGAGTCAAATGCTTGGGAAATGCAGCCTCTTCAGGAGTGGCAGCCTCTTGGGCTTCTATGCCCCTTCGAGAGCCCTCCATCATCCACCACCCAAAGTGGCCAGGGCTGGGCCATGCAGTGTTTATATCCAGGGACTCATCCCCGAGGACCACCATCTCCTCCACTTTCTCTTTTCCAGGCCAATTTCGTGGCTCTTATCTCTTGGTCATAAAAGGCAGATCAAGTGAGGCCAGTGGGAGAGGGCCCTGGCATGGGAGGAGGCCGGCTGGGTTCTCAGGCAGCCAAGCACTACTTCTATCAAGGTCACCCGGCAAGATAGTGACCGAACCTGGCCCAGAACCCAGGTGTGCTAACTCCAGGTATTCTCCATGGTGCTACCTGGAATGCTCCTCCTCCTTTGGCCTAACTCCTTGTGCTTTGGGACTCCACTCAGCCCTCACCTCCTGGAATTCTAGACTGACCTCTAGGTCATGTTCAGTGTCTCCTCCTAGCTCCTGCAGCCCCTATGCTTCCTTCTATTATGGCATCTATCAAATGGTGTTGTCATTGCCTGTTACATGTCTGCCTTCCCAACAAAGTGTGAACTCCGTGAGGGCCAGGATCATGGACTGCCAGTAAGTACCCCAGCCAGCACAGAAAGAGGCTCAACTTGTTGAATGAATGAACCATCAATCCTACAGCAAGAGTAGAATTCAGCTTTTGCATGGGGGCCGTCAGCAGCAGCTCTTCTTACCACTGAGAGAGGGATAGGTGACGTGGAACGCATAGAAATTGAGGATGGTTTCCATCAAATCCACCTGGAGCAGGGAAGCAGCCAGAGCAAAGGGGTCAGATAAGATATGAATAAAAATAAAAGTCCAAGGGCAGAACGTGTGGCCCCCACCTCTGGAAACATCAACATGTCAACCCATTTATGAAATAGAGGTTGACTGTGACTATCACCATTCCAGATCAACAGCTCCTTATTCACAATGCCCCAAAACCCAGACCTCTGAACTTCATTCTTCACTAGTGCATACAAGCTCATTTTATGGCAAAGCATGACCTGAACCATCATGGGGCTATTTAGTGTTTCTTTGTTCCTCTTTGTGTGCACCTTTTTAAATTTCATTGCAGAAATATTAAGGTGTTTGATTATAGAGTGCTGCCCCAGAGCCTGCTGGAAGTGTTATATAACATATGGTGTGTGCCCCATATTACCTCTCAAAAATTCTCAGTTCTGAAACCCATCAGTCCTAAGGGCTTTGGATAAGGGATTATGCACCTGGGCCACTATTATTACCATAGTGAACATATATTGAGACGTTAGTATGTGTGAGACATTTCATCAAAGGGTCTTATGAATTCATTGCCCCATTTCATATTATAGCCCCCATTTGAGGTAGATGCTATTATTATTTCTATTTTACAGTCAAGGAAACTGAGGCTGAGAAAGGTTAAGTGATTTGCCCAAGGTCACACAGCTAGCACGTGGCAGAGCTGGTATAAGAGCCCAGATCTGTCTTCCTCCAAAGCTCATGCTCTTTAATGTCCATGTACTGCCACCCGTTAGCCCTCAGGCAGTGCCCTTCTTGGGGTCAACTTTCAGATGTGGTGTCCCATTTTCTGCAAGACTGCAGTGCATCTCAATCTGGGCCTTCGTCGCTTCTCCTGGAGCCCCATGAAGGCCTGCTTGGAAAAGACATTCAAGAAACTCTAAGAGAAAACAACTCACATTGATGAAACCGATGTTGGAGTGTTTCAGTTCCAATTTCAGCTTACTGTGTGGAGAGAGAAGCATGGGTCACCGCAGGCCACGGCTGGTACTTTTTTGCAGTCACCCCACTGGGGTGTGTAGTGCTCACGGGCAAGGGCATTTCTGGTTCTGGGCACCCAAGGGTTCCTCTGCAATGTGGTGCTTGTGGGCTTACAGCTTTAAGCATGCACTGAGATTTAAGAAGAAGCGGCTTTGTTCACAAGAGCTTTGCTGAGCATCTTTGATAACTTGAAGAAATGATGATACTATAAATATTAACAGGAAAAAGTGGAATATAAGAAGTAATGCACTGTATGTCTCCAGTTATATAAAAATGTATCCAAAAAGACTGGAAGGAAACATGAAACTATTAATAGCCATAGTCTATGTGGCAAGGTTATGGGTGATTTTGTTTGTTTTTTAATACCTTTATAATTTCCAATGTTTTCTTGCCATGAGCATGCATTATTTTTATAATATGGGCATAGACAATAAAAATGGAAATGAAGGGGCCGGCCCCGTGGCATAGCACTTGTGTGCGCGCGCTCTGCTGCTGGCAGCCCGGGTTCAGATCCCGGGTGCGCACCGACGCACTGCTTGTCAGGCCATGCTGTGGCGGCGTCCCACATAAAGTGGAGGAAGATCGGCAGGGGTGTTAGCTCAGGGCCAGTCTTCCTCAGCAAAAAGCGGGGGATTGGCATGGATGTTAGCTCAGGGCTGATCTTCCTCACACACACAAAAAAAGGAAATGAGAGGCACCACAAATGATGCTGGCGTGCAGCTGGCACCCAATGGCATGAGGGAAGGTAGAGGGACTCAGGGTCCCTCAATTGCTGTCACTACACAAGCTGAACCCCCATTTCCCCCATAGATCCCCCTCCTAATAGGCTTTCCTCTTGACTGCTGACCTGGTTCTCTTGTTCAGGGATTCTAATTAGCCTGGACAGATATCTTTGCTTTCTGCTCATGCGCAGAGTGGTTTTGATAATTCCTTGATGAAATCATCATGTGAGAGCCTCTCAAATCCTCGTCACTTTGCTGTATCCTCCTAGTCTGAGCCCTTTGCTGTGCTCCCAGACACTGCAGAGACCTCCAAGCCAAGTCTACGCATCAACTCAAGTTCCAGGACCTCCAAAAGCCCCAAATGCTCACCATTAGCTTCTCTTTTTAAAGACCTCTTGAGATGTTCACTTTAATGGAGTCAGAGCATCTGTGAGCCATCAGGCATCTAACCCTAAGGCCGGGAATTAGTTCCTCTGATGAACTCATTGCACCTGTACCTCAGCAGGGAGCAGCACCCAGAGTGGGTGAGACGTGACACACAGGCAAGGGCTCTGGAAAGAGGACACTACCAGGGCAAGGGCCAGCCCCAGCAGGTGGTATAGTCCCTCCTGCCTAAAGCTCGAACTCCTCATTGATTCACTGGTGAAATAAATACTTGCCTATTGATTGGGTATCTGGGCAGTGGAGCAGTGAGCAGTGGCTTGGGGGCACCTTCAATTCTCCGTCCAAAATCTCCTCCACTTTTTATTTATTTATTTTTTTTGGTGAGGAAGATTGGCCCTGAGCTAACATCCATTGCCGATCCTCCTCTTTTTACTGAGGAAGATTGGCCCTGGGCTAACATTTGTGCCCATCTTTCTCTACTTTATATGTGAGACGCCTGCCACAGCATGGCTTGATAAGCAGTGCGTAGGTCCGCGTCCGGGATCCGAACCCGGGAACCCGGGAACCCGGGGCTGCTGAAGCAGAGTATGCAAACTTAACCATTATGCCACCAGGCTGGCCCCACCTCCACTTTTTGATGTGTAATATTGACAGTTTTTCTCAATCTTATATGTAAAGTCCTTGAAACACGGCTTCAAGCCCCACCTTCTCCAATTAGACTATCGTTCCTAAGTACCCATTTTGCACAAGTTCCAGCTCCTCCATTGATGCCTGAAACGGGGAAGTGAGGAGCCCAAAGCGATAGGGGACCTGAAAGTAAACTCTGCTGCTTGGCAACTTTTCTCGGCTTCTGGCTTTTCCCCTGAGGCATTGTCAATATGCCTTCTCCAGAGGGGCATCCAGATTAAAGAATGAGCCAGCCCCATGGAGATCTCTGTTTCCAAGGGTCAACCCCAGCCCTTTCAGTGAACCAGGACAGATGCTCGGATCACCCATCCCACCCCGTTTCTTCCCCCCACCCAAGGCCTCTTACCTTCTCAAGGTCAGTGAAGCAATAATCCTGCTGGAGGTCACACTGATGGTGGCAGAGACGCTGGTTCCCTAGAAAAACAAAAGGGGATGACCCAGACTCTCAGCCCATGTAAGCATCCTGTTGGTTCCCAGTCCAGAAGACAGATCTCCAGAAAGAGAAACCACAGCCAGACGTGGGACTATGGATGAAAAGCAGCAACCCAAGGCTTACAGACTGAGGCTGCAGGATGTTGGTGGCTCCACAGGCGACTTTGAGAAAGGTGAGCTGAGGTTTCAGAGGTCTCCCTCTTAATGGAAGCATCAAGAAGGGGGAATAAGCCCAAACTAAAGACACAGAGAATTCAAATAGGGAGACCATTTGCATATAAGCATGACTGAGCTTCGGACCAGGCTACCAAGAGAAATTCAGAGAGTCCGTGACCCCTAGGGACAGTTAAAGTGTCACTAACTGACACTTGTGTTTGAAGATGAAGCCTGGCCTGCCGAGGGGCGGGGTTGAACCAGGTGACTGAATCTGGAGGCCCTGTAAAGCCTGTCCCATCTATGATGGTTAGCTATTTTACCTGAATCCACTTCCTCTTACCAGGAGGTGAGCTCTTACCTGCAACACCTGAGTGAGCGCTTGTGGTGGCATCACTGAACAGCTCCACTTTGAAACCTAATTGATGTCCCAGAGGCTTGTGGTAGGAAAAAGGGAACACTATTTGTGTCCCAAAGGACAGAAGGCTGGCTTCGCTTAGGCATGGAGAAGGTCAGCATCAGTTTGAACAGTGACCAAGAAGTACTGAAGATGGACAAGGAAGGTCCTGTGGCAGAGCCTGCTATGTGTTTACCAAGACTCACTTCTTTGTCACCTGGGCACCCAGCTGGACTACATTTCCCAGCCTCCTTTGCAGTTAGGTGTGGCCATGTGACTGAGTTCTGGCCAATAGAATGTGGGCATAAATGATGTGTGTTACTTTCAGACCTTGTCTTGGATTTCCCAGCCTCCAGAACTGTGAGAAATAAATTTCTGTTGTTTAAGCCACCCAGTCTATGATATTTTGTTATGGCAGCCGGAGCTGACTAAGACAGCACTTGAAAAATATTGTGCCACTTCCTTCTGGCCACCATGGTTTCTGGTGAAAAACGTGCTGCCAGTGGAATAGTTTTTCCCCTATAGATAAGGTGTCATCTTTTCCTGGTCGCTTTCAAGATTTTTTTTCTTTTTTTTTTTTTTGTGAGGAAGATGAGCCCTGAGCTAACATCCATGCTAATCCTCCTCTTTTTGCTGAGGAAGACCCGCTCTGAGCTAACATCTATTGCCAATCCTCCTCCTTTTTTTTCCCCCCCAAAGCCCCAGTAGATAGTTGTATGTCATAGTTGCACATCCTTCTAGTTGCTGTACGTGGGATGAGGCCTCAGCATGGCCGGAGAAGTGGTGCGTCGGTGTACGCCTGGGATCAGAACCCGGGCCACCAGTAGCAGAGCGCGCTCACTTAACTGCTAAGCCACGGGGCCGGCCCCCAAGATTTTTTCTTTATCTTTAGTTTTCAGAAATTTAATTCTTATGTGTCTTGGCATAGATTTCTTTGGATTTGTCCTGTTTGGAGTGTGCCCAGCTCCTTGAATCTGTATATTTATGTCTCTTGCTAAATTTGGGAAATTTTCAGCCATTATTTATTTGAATACTTTTTCAGCCCTCCCACTTTCTCTCTCCTGAGACTCTGATGACATGAATATTAGATCTTTTGTTATAGTCCCACAGGTCCCTGAGGCTCCTTTTTTTTTTTTCCAGTCTATTTTTGTCTCTGTTGTTCAGATTGGGTAATTCTATTGTTTTATCTTCTAGTTCACTTATTCTTTTCTCTGTTCCACTGATACACCCCAGCAGGGGTGTTGGGGCACTCTGTTACAACCTTATGAAAATGGAAGTCTAGGCTCCCCAGTCAGCCTTCACTGACATGGGTGTGTTAAGGGCCAGTTTTTTTTCTCATGTTGGGCTGCAGTAGAGCTGTTATTATCTAAAAGTTTTCTATCTTACTAGGCTGCCTTTTTTCTGGTCTTTTGGCTAGAGAGAGGAGACTTGTTGGGGCTTTTTTTTTTTTTTTTGTCTGTGCCTGTTGGTGTTTCTGGGCTGCTGACTTCATCAGCCCCAAACTGGAATATGTAGGGCAAAAAGAAAACCTAGGGTACTCATAACCATGTTGTTCCTTAGGTCCTGAAGTCCCTAGCTGATCTGCCTTCTTCTCTCTGCCATTCAGAGTCTTCTTGTGTTTGTTTTATTTATAACATCCAGGGTTTTTAGTTGTACTTAGCAGGAGGAAAAGGGAAATGTACATCTACTCCATCTTCTCAGAAGTGGAAGTGCTTTGCCCATTTTTAAATTAGGTTATTTGTCTTTTTTATGACTGAGTTGTAAGAGTTCTTTATATATTTTGGATACAAATCCCTTGTCAGATAGATGATCTGCAGATATTTTCTCCCATTCTTTGGATTGTCTTTTCACTTTCTTGAATGGTGTCCTTTGAAGCATAAAAGTCCTTAATTTTGATGAGGTCCAACTTATTTTTTATTTTGTTGCTTGTGCTTTTGATTCATATCTAAGAAGGCTTTGCTAACCCAAGGACATGAAAAATTACTACTATGTTTTTTCTAAGAGTTCTATAGTTTAAGCTCTCACATTTAGGTCTATGATATATTTGGAGTAATTTTTGTGTATGGTGTAAGGAAGGGGTCCAGTTTCATTCTTTTGCATGTGAATATCCAGTTGCCCGAGCACCATTTCTTGAAAGTCTATTCTTCCACATTTAATTTTCTTGGTCCCCTTGTTGAAAATCAATTGACTATAAACATGGAGATTAATTTTTGAATTTTCTTTTTTTAAAATTATTTATTTATTTATTTATTTATTTCCCCGAAAGCCCCAGTAGATAGTTGTATGTCATAGTTTCACATCCTTCTAGTTGCTGTATGTGGGACTTGGCCTCAGCATGGCTGGAGAAGCGGTGTGTCGGTGTGCACCCAGGATCCGAACCCGGGCCACCAGCAGCAGAGCGCGCGCACTTAACTGCTAAGCCATGGGGCCGGCCCCCTATTTCTGGATTTTCGATTCTATTCCATTGATCTACATATCTATCCTTGCACCAGTACCCCACTATCTTGATTATTATAGCCTTATAGTAAGTTTTGAAATAGAGAAGTATGAGTTCTACAACTTTACTTTTCTTTTTCAAGATCACTTTAGCTATTCTGGGTCTCTTGAATTTACATATGAATTTTAGGATCAGCTTGTCAGCTGGCAAAAATGCCAGCTGGGATTCTGATAGGGGTTGTGTTGAATCTGTAACTCATTTTGGAGAATACTGCTATCTTAAGAATTCTTTAAATTTTATACTTTCTTTAAAAAGGTAATTTGGGCCGGCCCCGTGGCTTAGCGGTTAAGTGCGCGTGCTCTGCTACTGGCGGCCCGGGTTCAGATCCTGGGTGCACACCGACGCACCGCTTCTCCTGCCATGCTGAGGCCACGTCCCACATACAGCAACTAGAAGGATGTGCAACTGTGACATACAAC